TAGGATTAATCCTTCATCACCAGAGAGGAAAATTGCATTACTCTTACTTTTACTGGAAAAAAAATGTTTATGCATGGTACATTAATTATAAGTTCCTAATTTACTTGTATATGAGTAGCCCACAAAGATCAATGCTACATATTTTTATTTTCACAAATTGTCCATTGATGGAGAAAGCTTTGATAGCATTTGAGTGCTTTTGGTACTTTGCGGTGCTGTTCAAAGATATTTAAAAAACAGATTATAGATGCTTCCTTGTTTAAATCCTTTAGGGGTTTTTCACTGCAGTTAGAATAGAATTATGCCTTTTCATGGTTCTCTACCCACTTTTCTGATCTCTGATTCACTTTTCAGGTCTAGGGGTCAATAAGAACACACACCCTGTGGTGAGAAATTTGACCGGGTTAAGGATAAAAAGAAGTCAGCAATAGCTGAAGCATCTGATGGAATTCTCTAGTTCATATGATCCACCCTGGCCTTTTTGCTAGTTCTTGAGCTCATCAACCTTATTCCCACCCTTGGACTTTGCACTCTTTTCTTTGATGAAAATGTTCTTCCCCCAGACATTCTATATGACTGAATTTTTGTTCACTTGTGACATCTCAACTCTTTGTGCCTCTCCATAGAGCTCTTTCTTGACACTCCTTTCTAAAAATTTTGTTTTCCATTTTTTTTTTCTTTTTATCCTGTTTTATTTTCTTTACAGCCTGTAACACCATCAGAAATGGTTTGCTGTCTACATTCCAAACTTCCTTGTCCTCCCCACTCTCTGTATCCCCTTGCTAGTAAAATAAGTTCAGGAGAGTCAGGCTCTCGTCTATTTTGTTCACTCTGTATCCCCAGCTCCTAGAGCAGTGTCTAGAATAAAGTGTGCATTCGGTAAATATTAGATAAATAAATGAAGAATGAACAAATAATTAAGTGGCTGTAAAAATAGTTCATAAAGAGAAATCTGCTTTATTGGGTTAAAGCAGCTAAGACAAACTAGGAACAAAGAGGGTGGACCTGAATTCAGTTCTTTATTCCACTGAGTCTTTTCATGTGTATTGGGGCATGTTTCTTTCTTTCTTTTTTTTTTTTTAATTATGGATTAAAATGCTAATTTTTTTCTTTATTTTTTTTATGTTCAATTAGCCAGCATATAGTACATCATTAGTTTTTGATGTAGTGTTGAACGATTCATTAGTTGCGTATAACACCCAGTGCTGCTTAACCTCAGTGTCTGTTTCTTTATCTATAAAACAGGGATGTAGAGTTCATGGGAAAAAAAATGGATGAATTAGTTGGTGAAATGACTGAGATTCATCATTTTTCCAAATGTATCTCAGTCAAGGAGGCTCTCCTTTTGAATAACAAATTTGTATGCAATATGTTGGAAAAGTTGAGGTTATACTATAAGACGTGCTAATAGTTTAATAGCCTTGCAAAATTTAAAGTAATATTTTGCTTCAAAAGAGCACTTCACTAGGAAAAAAAAAAACATGAAAGTATCCCTTCAGAGTTTTAACTTACTCATGTCGCAGATACCTTTTATTTTGCTTATTTTATTTTTTAGTTAAAAATTGGAAAAGATCTGAAATAAATTTTTAAAAAGCAAACTGTGATATTTTTTCAGGAAGGGTGAAATTGCACTTGATTTCAAATGACCCTTTACAACAATTAATCTATATTACTGTAGTCAAAAAGCTGAACTAAGAATATAATTACAGACATCATTAACATCAAAGTTTTAATAGTTTCTCTATGAAGAGGCAAATAATCAGGCTTGGACATGCCAAAATCATGACTTATTTCTTCAGTTCATTCAACACATATTTGTTTAATGTCTTCAGTGTGTTAGGTACTATTGTAAATGTATTGGGTAGGTATATCAGTGAAATAAACAAAGATTGTTATTCTTCTAGGGCTTAAATTTTAGACAGGCTGTTTATTCTATACTTTGCTTCCAGCTTGCTCCATAGCTTTATACCTTTCTCCATTTGTTAAGTATGACTCAGAGGATTGATACAGAAAATTTGGGTGGCTTTTAAAAATCATCTAATTACTGTTGACTAAAATTAGCTACAATGTGTTCTTTTGAGGTTATATACTAAATATCAACATGATATTAATATTTTGGAGACTATCTGGTTTTTAGACACATCTGCTTTGCAAATCTGGACAAGTTGTTTAATTTGATGGGGCTGGATCAAATCTATAAGAATTGGGCTACTTCAAAGGAGAAGAAAAATTGTGGATTTGCTGAGACAACGGACTGTATTTTAGATTGTAGTAGTCTACTTTGGCTATAGTCCTTTTAAATTTCAGCCTATATTTAATTCCATTAGACATATATATCTACTTCTTATGGGTAATGGTTGGGTGGAGTGGTTTTGACTTAGTCTGTTTGTTTTCTATGAGTCTAATAATTGTAGAATTTATAATATACTTTTTCCTTCCAAGGATTTTGCAGTCCTTCACACACCTCATTTTATTTATTCAAAATTTCTTCCATGGGGTAGAAAGGATGGACATTTCTAGTCTCAAATAAGAACTTAAAAAATTAAAACCCCTGGTAGGGATTAAATGTACTTAGCAACAAATTTGGTAAATGAATGTGGTAGTTATAATTTGAAGCTTAGTGAACTTTCTAGTGAATATTGGTACCATTCATACTATGATTCTTTTTTCTTTCAAGGTTTTATTTAAATTCTAGTTAGTTACAGTATAGAGTAGTATTAGTTTCAGGGGTAGAACCTTCATGTCTCTTTTGTAGAGGAGTGTATTTAAGTAACTGAATGGCGCTAAGAAGAGAGGTTTAAACTATATAAAAGGCTGGGCACTTCTGCATAGCTTTTCACCACGCTCCATAACCATAGCTTTGACTCTTACTTGACTCATTATCCTATCGTGCCTGCCTCCTTGAAGTTTGGAAGAAAATGAGTATATGGTGTACGAATCAATCACTAGAAAAAAATACTGTTCCATTGTGTTTCTTTTTTTTCTAAGATTTTATTTATTTATTTGAGAGAGAGAGAGCGAGCCACTCCCATGTGAGCAAGTAGGGAGAGGGACAGAGGGGGAGGGAGAAGGAAAGGGAGAGAATCTCAAACAAGATTGCAGATTCTCAGCACTGAGCACAGGGCTCAATGTAGGGGCTTAATCTCACCACCCTGAGATCATGACCTGAGCAGAAACCAAGAACTGCAAGCTTAACAACTGGGCACCCAGGCGCCCCTCCATTGTGTTTCTTAATTATGGTGAGAAAAGGTTTTAGTTAATTAATTTACCTGTTTCTCCAAAGGATATAATCTACTAAAAATCTGTATAATCTATATAATCTACTAAAATTGGGTATTTAAAATGTGGGGTTATTTGAAACCATGGCAAATAAGAAAGTGAAAACAGTTCTTTCCATTAAGCAAAATTCTGTCATATCCAAGTCCCCAAAAAAGAATGGCATTTTTCTATCTACAGAAGATGTCATGAATATACCGAAGAGAATTATCTGTAACTATAATGTTCTTTAAATTTTTTGAAGTCCGACAAATACTATATTATATTTTGCCAAAGGTAAATTATAATTTTACATTATCTAGTCACAGTGTAAGAGGTTAAATTTTGGGGCCTTATATAAATTAATCATTATGGAATCTTTAGAGGACATCTAATGTGTAAATGAAGGGCTGAAGCAGTTCTATTAAGCGCTTCTTTAAGTTTTAGTTAAACCTCAGTCAGAGCTTTATTTTCCCTTACTAATTTGCTAGTGATTATGCAACTTCAGAGTGACAACTGTTGTAGCATCATCAGACAGTCTAACATTTGCAAAAGGTTAATTATCTGAAAATTTGAGACTTACCGAAGGTTTAAAAAAATATTTTTGTCTCAGTTTTTAAAAATATGTGCATATTTATTTAGCTCCTTAATGCATGTTGTTTCCAACCAAGTAAATCTATTTTCAAAACAGAGATTATTTAAGAGATTTGGCTTATTTTTCTTTTCTTGGTGAATGTGCCAAAGGTCTGTTTTCTATAAGACGTGTGTCTGTTTCAACTTACTATTTTGATTATGAGTAGTTTATTATCCAGATAGATCTTCAAAAATAGAATATTTGCTAAAGAATTCTTATGTATTTGGTTGAGTACATATTTTAGAATTATTTAGGATTTATAAATAGCCTGTAATATAATATTGGGAACACGTTAAGTATAACATATAATGCTTTAATAAAAAGGAAAGAAAAAAGATGATAATGTTCTAAGCATTTCCAATAAGGAAGTGAGTGGGTGGAACATCTTCAAATGCTGATTTGGCTTTCCTTAGAACAGTGTTAACGTCTTTATATTTAACCGACCCAGGTTCCAGCGTTTACAGTACCCACTTAAGTTTGTCCAGTCTCCCAGGTTTTATTACTTTTTATGAATACTGCCTTGAGATTCTGACTTCCACACTTTGACTTCTACCTTTTTATATTAGGGGCGTGAACTTCCTGGGGGGCAGTTCTTTTATGTATGAAATTGCTCAGAGTTTCCATCTGCTTTTACTTGACTTGTGGTCTTGAAGATCATGCTTGGCCCATGGGATATTACAGCGTGCCGAGAGGATGTGGAGTTTTGTCAGCCAGTGAAATATGTCTGTTTTTTTTTTTTTTTTTCTTTTTCTTTTTTCTTCAGCAGCTTTCATACACTCCTCATCCTGTGTGGTCTTCACTAAACTGAATTTTTATTTAACAGAACTACTCACCCTCTTTATCATCTTCTATGACTTGGTCTTTTTTAAGGAGAGGGTGTGTGGAAGTAACATCTGAGCCAAAAAACTGTAATGTTGGCAATAGGAAAACCTAAAACCGAAAGCTTAAAGTAGGTTATATATGAATGTGTTCAATATTCACAAAATGTGTATTTTGTAATGCAAAAGAGTATCATATTTCAGATATGTACAACTGTCAAAAAAAATTCTCATGCCAACAGTAGACTCCAAGTTTTGTCTGTGATCCAAATGACTTTTTTGCTTGTTTTTAGGCACTACTGCAGTCTTCAGTTAAGCAACAAGTAGAAGCTATTGAAAAACAGTACATTTCTGCAATTGAGAAACAAGCACACAAGTGTGAAGAGTTGTTAAATACTCAGGTAATAAAATTGCACATCCATTATGTATTTATACTTTTCTTCTGACTCTCCTCCCCTGAGAGCTCTATAACTGTTTATTCAGTTTCGTGCCATTTACTTTCCTTGGTGTATTTTGGAGAAAAAAAATATGCTTATGTAAACTTAATGTTAAAGTTTGGGAATTTTATGAAAGACTAAGAATAGAGCTGAAGGCCTAAAATATGTGGCTCTCCCACAAATTAATCATAATTCTTATGTTAATTTCTGTGTTTAAATATTATTCAACAAATGACAGAGGCAAAGAGATGACTATGAATGTATTATGGCATGTGAAATGATTTTTAGGAGTATAAGATTTATAAATAGTATTTGATTTTTGAAAGGCACTTATTCATGTTTGAGTTACCTTTCGTTGCATGTAGGCATTGGTCACTATTTGAATTTTTCACTGAATTTTTTGTTTCTTTTCTTGATTTAATGTTAAAGACATGATTAGCTGATTTACACTGAACAATCAGTTGAAGAGCACTTATGGAGGTGTCGTAGTATAAGTAATATATTCAAGAAGTTCCCAGCAACACTTTTAAATAACAAAAAATTTGGTAGGTGAAAATACAACCAGCTTTATTTAACAGAACTTTCTTATATCATGGGAAGAAAATATACTAAGAATTTGGAAAACAAAGTTAGGGGTAGAATTTAAATGGAGACTTAATAAATATGCCACCCTGTCACCGAGATCGGAATCAATTGTATTAAATTTTTTCAGTGTCATTTTAATAAATGGCTTGAAAGAGGAAATACACAGGGAATTTTATAAATTTGATATAACAATTATATTCTTTTGGGTGATGAAATACCAGGTCATCAGAAGTATGAAGTATATGACTTTATAAATGGACAGAAAAATCACAGTAATGAATTAAGGTCACAGAACTGTGAATAGCAGAAAGCATGTATTAGCCAAGGCAGGCCAGGTTATACTCTAAATTCTCTGGCTTCAGACAGCAAAGATTTATATCTTACGCATTCTATATATACACTGAGGATTGTCTTCGGGCTTGGTCCCAGGTCATTCTCGCCCTAGGAACTGGCCTGGTAGTGTAGTTCCTATGTGGAACATTACCTGTGATCATTGCAGAGTGAAAAAGAGCTCAGTCAAATTTTCTAAGAGTAATTCAATATTCTGGACTGGAAATGACACTTCTACTCTCAATTTATATCCATACTGCTTCACCTCATCATAATGGGGCCAGGTAGTGAGATCCTACTATGAATCTGAAAGGGAGTGAGCAGGAAATATTTGGTAAGCAGCATTAGTCACAGCACGTTTGGCTCTTCTGGTTGCCAAATATTCCCAATCTCCATCTTTTTTTTTTAAAGATTTTATTTATTTATTTGAGAGAGAGAGAGAGAATGAGAGAGAGAGAGCATGAGGGGTGGAGGGTCAGAGGGAGAAGCAGACTCCCTGCCGAGCAGGGAGCCCGATGTGGGACTCCATCCCGGGATCCAGGATCATGACCTGAGCCGAAGGCAGTCGCTTAACCAACTGAGCCACCCAGGCGCCCCCCAATCTCCATCTTACAAGCAAATTTACTCAACTGTCTCCTTGGGAGAAAATCCAAAAGTTCTGACCTGCTGTGGCCACAAGCTCAAAAGTCCAGGATCTTTAGATGATAGGTAGGGAATGACGTACCACAGTCTCTACATTATCAGGTCCAGATATATAGTCCCCTTTGACCTAAAGAATTAGAAACTAAAATATGTAAACAATGAATCATGGAACATTACATCAAAAACTGATGATGTAGTGTATGGTGACTAACATAATAAAAAAAAGTTATAAAAAAAATAGAAACTAAAATATGTGTTGTTTACCTTCAGCATATTTGGTATACAGTGGCAAGATAAAGGTATTTACTATAAATACTCTCAGTAGGAAGGATGAAGAATCAGAGATGCACAGCTATCATTAGTATGTAGCAATTCTAAAATCTCAATGGACAAGATTAAATAAGATCTCTCCTATGGGAATAGGATTGATCTTTGACCATGATTCTCTGTATAGGGTTTAGGCACAGAGTTTCTAGTCCATTGTTCTTTATGATCGTATAGATTTTAAATTTTTCAGTAACTTTGTTGGCTATATCTGAGTATTGGTGATTATACCATTTCTCAGCTTGCTTTTTGACTGTAGAAAATTGGGAGACATGGGTTATTTTATTTTATTTTATTTTTTTATGAATTCAAAGGACAATTTTTTATTTTTAAAAAATAGCCTGGAATCCTGTGGGGCTGCAGCCAGTGTACTTTTTTTTTTTTTATGTTATGTTAATCACCATACATTACATCATTAGTTTTTGATGTAGTATTCCATGATTCATTGTTTGTGTATAACACCCAGTGCTCCATTCAGTATGTGCCCTCTTTAATACCCATCACTGGGCTAACCCATTGCCCCACCCCTCTCCCCTCTAGAACCCTCAGTTTGTTTCTCAGAGTACATAATCTCTCAGGGTTTGGGGAAACACGGGTCATTTTAGATAGCAAATAGTGACAGTTCAGGGTAATGGTTCTTTTGGCTCCTTACCTGTTTGCTTACAATCAGCTCCATTCGTCAAAGGAAACCCACAGTTATTTTAGAGACCTATTGCCTACATTTAATATGTTTATATACTTTTCACCCCTATACTTGCCTGTTTGTGTTGTTCTCTTTTTTTCTGATTAAAAATAACTTCATTTATCAAACCTGGGTTGAAGAAATTTCAATGGTCTCTTTTCTCCAAACCATTTGTTCCAAATGAAAGTATATACAGGACAGTCACAGCCTTATCGGGTCTGTGCTTGGAGACACTAATGGATTGAATCTTTAACAGTGGGTGTGGCTAACATACACTTGGTTTAAGACTTGCTGTAAGGTTGAATTTAGTTGGTCTTTGTTGCTCAAAGACCCTCTCAGTTGTTTCTTTTAGAAGCTGAGGTTGAGAAGGTGGTTATTCCTGCAAGTCCTCAAATTTCTGAACTTTTTCGGTTACCCGTAATTCAATTCTTGTGAATTGTCTTTTCTTGTGAATTCATTGCTGAACTTGTCTTTTTCTTACGATGCCTTGTCAAAAATAGCCAGTAGCAGAGCTAATAAATGACTGCAGCACAGTAGTAGGCTAAAAGATTAACACACAAAAATCAGTTGTGTTTCTATACACCTTTAATGAATATTCAAAAAAGAAATTAAGAGAGCAATTCAGTTTACAGTAGCATCTTAAAGAATAATATATATAGCAGTAAATTTAACCAAGGAGGTGAGAGACTTGTCCACCGAAAACTACAAAACAGGACTGAAAGAAATTAAAAATAACCTAAGTAAGTAGAAGGACATCCCGTGTTCATCGATTGGAAACATTGGGTGAGGAGCACTCCAGGATTACCACAGGACATATAGAGGACCAGAAGCAGTTCAGTATAATGAAATGCTATTTAAAAACTAAACACTAAAAGGGGATATGATTACTAGGTAAAATCATATAAAGTGTAGAAATGGTGATCCCACACTTGTTTCTCTAATCATATTTCATTAGATGCCATTTGAAATTTTAAGTTAGTAAATTTAATTTAACAAAAATAATACTGGATGGTTCCTTAGAAATAGTTTAGCCTTTGTGTGTGTGTGTGCGCACATACATGCATACCTTTCTCTCTCTCTCTCTCTCTGTTTCTTTTTCAAATTAAGAATTTAAGGGAAAAGCAAGTAAACACGCATTCAGAGTAATTACAAGCAGGTGCTCTGGAATCTGACTGCCTGCCTTTGTCACTTAACTGTGTTACTATGGAATGTCCTTAGCCTTTCTGTGCCTCATTTTTCTCATCTTTAGAATGTATACACAAGTAATTCCTACCTCATAGGATTGTTAGGAGTATTATATGACATCAGATTTGCATAGTGCTTAGAATAGAACCTGGCACATTCTAGGTGTTCAGCTGATATGGACTGAATTATCATCATCTTTGTTATTCTTGGTCACAATATTCTTGGTCAAGGTACGGCCACTCCCTTGTCTAGTATTTCAGTGCTAGGCCAACCTTTTGTCCATCCCTCTCTTCCTTATTTAATGAGGGCCTTTTATATGACTGACATTCTGCTGGATTATATGGATGTAACATGAGCAGGACACAGTCCTTCTATTAATATTAAGCAGGTGGAAACCAACAATATGATTGTAAAACTGTGGTAAGTTATGATGAAATAAATGTTATATTAAAGAGGTATATAATTCCTTCATATTGGGTGAGGGACCACTTATTGGACTAATGGTGAGATCTTTCAGGGTTCATGGGTCTGAGTGAGGTCGGAACTGAGAATTTCGCCTGAGACAGGTAGATGGAATAGCATATTCACAATCTATTAAATAGGGAGTATAACGTAAATGTTTGACAAGGGGGGGTGGGGCTATTTGAGACTGCGAAATGAAAGATTATTTTATGCCATAAAAAAAAAGGACCTTGTCTGTCACGTTGTCTGACAGGAAATTGAGAGCTGTTAAAAGACATTAACTAAAGAAGTGACATTTGTTCAGATTTGCATTTTAGAAATATTACTCTGGTAGAGTTTAAAAAACACTTGATGGGAGACAGTATTAGAAGCACATAAATCAGTTAAACAGCTATTACAGTTATCCTAGTGAGAATGGTGGTGGCCCAAACTAAGGTGGGTGTGTGGGAAAGAGAGATTTTGACGGTTTTGAGTCATATTAAGGGAACAGAAACCAGAGAATTTGTGGGAATAAAAGAAAGGAAGTAAATGTCGATTGATAAAGGATATATTTACACATACACAAACACACACATTTTATATACATAAATATGTATTTATATACATGAATATATTTTTGTGGATGGTGACCAGATCTTTGGTTTTGGCAGTTCACTGAAATAGGAAACTTAAAACCTGCAGCATGGTTAGGGTTGAAAATTTTGTGTTTTGGACATGTTGAGCTTGTAGTGCCTGTGGAATATTCAAGATCAGA